TAGCAACAAAGCCGCTAACCCATTTAAAAAAAAAAAAAAAAAAGAGCTTGACCAAAACCCAGCAAAAATAGAAAACAGTCACAGTAGAAAACGCTTTGGTAGCAAATCTTCATTCCTATTTAAATAGCTGATCTCACCAGGATCTTCAGTAATTCTCCAGTTTTGTGTCTTGCAAAGCAATCCAAGGGTGCCAGGTCGTGAAATGTATTGAAGAGCCATTTTGTTGAGAAAAAAGAGAATTTAATGCATCCCAGACGTGCCTAGAACTGGGGGGAAATTTTTTTCAACTAAACTTTTTTGTTCCTCGCTGATGCAAAGATGCAAATCTGGAATACTTCAATTATTGTATCCAAAGTGAGTTGATTCCAACAGTTCTTTCTGGACGGAGAAGGACTTGCAAAGAGAAATTCAGTATTTAAAACCCTTCATAATTGACTATATCTGCATTGTGAAAGTAATTTTTTATGGGTTTTTTTATGCCATTTCCTTTTAAAATGTGTTTTCTTAAAAAAGACATTGTGAAGTTTTAAAGTGAAGTGAAATATCTAATCTTGGTGAACTATGAGAACATTTTGTTGGACCCACTCTAGAATCTGAGTGGAAAGGGGGCTTATTTTGAGATTTCACTGGCCTTGAGGGGGGCGGTTTTGGAGCTGCCCTCACAGTGAAATACTATTGGCTTGCTTGGGTCCTAACCTATTTTTCCATGGAACAGTTTCATGGGGGTGAGGCAAATGATGACCTGAGACTTCTGCTTTTCTGCTAGATTCTGTCTTGGTTTTTCCCCGTACCCACCCATACAATCCCAAAGCCGTTTATCTGTGTCATCCACATCTCTCTTGCAGAAGACATTGCTGCATTCATGTCAGAAACAAGTTTTGAGCTCTCATGCTCTGGTAGCGGAAACCAGCCAACCGCAGTAATGTCGTGCCCATAGTGCAGGGCTGCTTTCCGTAGAGCCGAGATGGGCAATAAGCCCATGCTTGCAGCGCCTGGCTTAGCCCAGGTACCTCCATCCTACCCTCTCATCTACTGCAACAAAAGGAGTAAGCGCATCCAGCAGGTCCAATTCAACACTGTCCTGTTTGCTTTAGGCATTCAAAACACGCCGAGCATAGGGGCAAGAGAGGTCTCCAAACCTTGTGGCCAACAGAGACTTGTGTCCACCTCAACTGGACCTGGGTCCTCCTGGAGTTCCAGGTTCAGCTTGATGGGTTGCTCCTGTAGGGTATGTTTTCCAGCCCACTTTGAAGATGGGCGAGCAATAGGACATTTAGTCACATCCTCTCCTCTCTACCATAAAGACGTTGTCCAAATGCCAGAAGAAGCATTGCTGGAGCAGGGCCCTGTGGTGGGATCTTCAGAAGACCTCCCCTTGCCCCATTGCGGGGGAACATCTGTACCTGTGTCCAGCTCTCGCTCGCCAAAATGTGACCTCAGCTGCTCCTCTGAAGGTTACTAAAATTGCCTTCTGCTGTCCTACAGCACAGGGGACACAGCATGTTTTGGAGGTCCTACACAAGCATCCAGTGTGCCCGGGACGTGCATGTCTGTCCCACACGCGTTCAGAGCTCAAAAGACTTGCTTGACCCCCCTAGGAAGACTTCTGCATCAAATATTTTTACTCAAAACTTAGCAGCAGCTAAGTTGGACTATTTTTTGCTAAAACTTTTCAAGCATATGGAGAAAAAATTGTGTTGCCTTAAAATTTTTTTGATCCGTTTTGAGTTCTGGTTGCTTTAAAAAAACCTTGTTTTATAAATCTCTTTTTGAGCTTAAGTGAGGAAACGAGTTTCCCCACTCTCAGTTATTACAAATAAACATTTTTAGATATGAAAAACTGTAAATTCACAAAAGGAAATTATCGTGCTTTTCTAAGTTATTGTTTTCTCCTCAGTGCTCTTTTCCACTGGGGGAAAAAAACAAAACAAAACAAAAAAAAACCAGTAAAAAATGGGTGGGAGAACTATCAGTTACTTTTCTCAATGTATTTTTGTGAAGCTAATTTTAAAAAATATTAATCAGAAGCAGAAACACTGCGGAACAACGTACTTGCAACTCAGCCATCTTTTTTTTGAAAAAATAAATAAATTACTTTTTTAAAAAATGAAAACTCCACCAGCTGTGGGCTGGGAGCTCACTGCATCTGACAACATTTGTCTGCAGCGCTATTTTGGGATGTTGTATAGCACCTGCCAGCATGAAAGATGGTCGCGTTGGCTGCCAAAGGTTGGATTTCGTAGGGACTGTGAATACCTAGAGCAGCGGTAACGTCTTTAGTGCGTGGGTGGGAGTGAGTGACCTTTGTGGGAGACTTTTCTCCGGTTGCATTTCCCACCCGTGCCGGGACATGCCGTTCGCTTCTTTGTGCTGCTTTTTGCGGATGTGTCTTTGACACATGCTTGCGGGCAGAAAGCTCGGCTTATGCAAGCATGCAGAGAGGTGCTACCAGAGAGGGTTGCAATGACCTCCTAGAGATGGGAGCACCGTGGGGAGATGCACAGGTAACAGCATTATCCCCACTCCTCTAAAATGCTGTCAGAGGAGTTGGGATGGCCACAAGCCCCTGGTGGGACTTGCTGCGATTGACCTTCCTCTATGCGCTTTCCCACTCTGCTCCACCAGTGTCCTGAGGGAGAGCAACTCAAAACCCCAAAACGTGCATCCACCATCGTGCAGATGGTCCATCAATCCTCTTGTAAGATCATCCTGGTGACATGGCTGGCGGCTGAAGCATATTGCTGACTCGTGCTATATCTCACATCCCCTAATGCTGTAGAAAAGACAGCGATTGCTACATCTGTATCTCCCATTCAGGGGCAGATTGTGTCAAAGACCCCGAGATGCTCCAGTGAGGTAGTAACAAGGACCATAGGTAGATGTCCAATGCATAGGCAGACTCTGTGCCTTTCATGGTTGGTAATGAGTGATACCTAAAACTTATCATCCAGCCTTGACTTAAAATGATACCTTGCAATTCCTTGGGTGAAAAAGGAATTCCAGCTACTCTCACTTTACTATCCTGGCAAATAACACTATTCGGAATCAGACATTCCAGCACAAAGTTAGCGTCCTGAAGAGCGGGAAAAGCTCACTTAGTAAATCATGTGCCATTGCATGACAATCAGATCTAAGCAAAGCAAACCCTGGTTGCAACCTGGAGGGGAGGCTGACAAATGAAAATGAACTTGCTGCAGGAAATGCTGTGGCTGATTCAGTGGGTGAAACTTCCCCTCCAACTGTGTTGTCAATGCCCAGAAAGCGGTGCTGAGACCTGGGTACAGATGGATGGGCCATCTGTAAACTCAGGTCAGAGAAGAGCTGAGAGAGGTTTGGATGCTGAAAAGCTTTTAGTTGGGGGAAAAAAATGTGTATTTAGCTATCCTGAAATATTTCACCAATTCCTTCCATTTTGCTCATTTTATCAGTGAAAATAAAAATGAGGAAGAAGGGAGAAGATATTTCAAAAAAATAATGCCTTAAAATATTGTGATGGCTCTGTTAGAAACCTCATTTCAGAGACCCAGTTTTTGAAATATTAGGTCTGTGCTAGAAAGCAAGAGAAATAGCTTTTACTGGCATATTTCCCCCCACAACTCTGGTTTGCTGCAAGCTTTCTTGAACATATCTGTTGGAGTCTGACTATCACGAGACAGCACTAGACTGACATTTGGGGGAACTGACTGACTACATTGGTCCTTGTACTTCCAGTCCCTGATCCTCCATGTTCATTGCAGACCTTGAGGTATTTTTGGCAAGAATACAAGTATTCAAGATTTTGGGGGTGATTTTTTCAGATGTGTAGCCCACATCTTTCAATGCCTTTGGTTCAAAGTAGGGGCTGAGGCAGACTTTGGTGCTGGATGGCGCAGATACCTTATATACCCGTGGCAACAGCACTGCAGTAGTGATGGCTTCAGCTGTTCCCTACTCTTTCAGGGGGTTGAGCAGGCTAAGTTTGTCATAATTTGGTTATTTTGGCTACCCAGATCCAGTATGATGATAGAATCATCAACCAGAGCTAAAATTACATTTCTGGGTGGCAAGTTAAACCAGCCCTCAAGCACAGGTGTGGAAACCCTAGTGTGGACTAGAGGATAGCCCATGGAAAGGGTTTGATTCCTTTGTGTCTAGTGTTTCTTGAGGTGTCCAGAAGGTCTGACACACACACACACACGGGGTTGGGAAACAAAATCCAGGATGTACAGCAGACTCACACCTTGTGAAATGCCAGGGCACATCAAATGGTACTAGGGCATCGCACAGGGACAACAGAGTCAAGCCTTAGGCTCACACTTAACAGGCAGGACGGACACAAGCTACATCATGTTAACTCCCTAAGCTCCTTGCAGTCCTCCAAAGTGTCCCATCAGGTCCCATGCCTTTGTGGACAAGCTGAGAGTGTGTCTGTGCTGCTTAAGCAGAAGAAAGAGTGGGACTGGTACCACACACATGACTACCACATCTGTGTGCTGCTCTTGCTGCATGGGAGGGACGTGACCCACAGAAAGCACTGAGCAGCATGAGTACAGCTTGGTCTTGGTCCAGGGATTGTGTGACATTCTTGAAGCCCTGGTACAGCAGAGTTCCCCAGCATCTCCAGCATCCCCTCTTCAACCCTCCAGCAGTGCATGCATGCAGCATCACCCAACTCTGCAACAAGTCTTCTCAATGCCAGCTGGGGATCTCTGCACTGGACAGGGAATGTATCCAAAGCAGTCATTTGTGTCCATTTTTTTTTCTGCTGACTTATAGTATCTGTCTGAACCTCATCTGCAAAGTCTTGTGTGAGAACAGAAGCTATGGGTTTCACAGGGTCAAAGGTAGTAGGAGTGTAGACAAGATGTTTTTAGACTCTTCTCTCCACTGTCCCAATGCCCTGCATTCTCATCTTCTCCAACTTGTTCTTCATGAACGAGAAGATTGTTTTGTTCCTCAGCACCTGTCCCTTTCCCCAAGAGCAATCTCGTTAAAAAGTAATTTCTGTTCTTCCTTCCAGGATGGGGTTGCTTGGGAGCAAAAATCAGCTGACCCCCAATGAGAAGCACACTTCGGGAAGCAACCCAAAAACCAAAACGAAACCTCCTCCCGCCCCACCCAAGGTAAGCCTTCAGTTTTTTGTCCTTTTGGGGCTCTCCACAGCTCAGTTAGTGTCTGGAGTGATGCAGGCAATATTTGTGTGTACCAGCAGGAACTTGAGCACTTCTATTTCCTAAAATTTGGTCAACCAGTGAGTCAAAGGGCAGAAGACAAATGTTTATCTTGGCTTCCCCCCACAAGCTTTTTAATATGGGGTGAACTGTGCAATCAACCCTTTCTTGCTCTGGGTTTTTTCTCTGTCAAAAAGGATTCCATTTTCTCTCTGGGACAATGTTATGGCTGTGAATTGTCTGAGTGGGCTAGGGATGGTAATACTCTGAAAGGCCATGTCGTGTTGAACCTGGCACAATTATTTGCGTCAGCTGGATTGGAGAGCAAGGCAGGGGCTATGGAGAGAAGGTGCAGAAGCCACTGCCCCGTGTGCCGTGCATCGCTTGGACACAAGTCCTCTGAGTGGATCCCTGTATCTTTTAGACAGGGCTGCTGCTCTCAGCACTCTGCAGCCCAAGCTGATGTTGCTGACTTGCAAACGGCACAAAGATGGGTCAGATCCAGGCTAAGATTCAAAGCTGCAAACCACAACGGAAACTTTGCCATCAGGGAGGACAACGGGTTCACTAAAGAGGGTCTACAGCTAATCTGTGTTGGGGTGGGCTGAGAATCAGGAATTCTAGGATCTACTGCTCCCTTTGAATTCATACGGCCTCTCCTTAGATGGGCACAGATCAGTAAGCCACTGGGATAGGATTTAGGATACCTCCATGACGGACCCCTTGTTTAAACCTGGAAAATCACTTTTTCTGTCTGTCTGTTGCTGTGCAGAGGACATGAGGTTGTTTTCTCTTTTCTTGCCCTTGTCGGCACTGCAGCCAGCACAAGACGAACTCTAGTTGCAACTGTCATATGAAAACCATCTTGGGTCTTGAGCTCTGAGAGGGGGGAGGAACTGCCTATCATTGTTTTTGATGACAGGTGGAGATGTTTTTTGCTCCTTTAGTTTCATTTCTGAGTTATCCCATGGTTATGAAGTCCAGTTTTCATGACAGCAGACGTCAAATTGACCAAGAGGATGTTCTTTTCCTAAATTTCCTTTTCTCCAGCTCACTGGAGGGGAGCTGCTATCAGTGTAAATACAGTATCATCAATCACCTTCTGATGCACTTTTTTTTTTTTTGCCACAGGCACTAATCTCACATGTCAGGGGAAGTCCATATTTCTTTCAGCTAAATTAGAAAGAGCAGTGGTTGAGCAGCTCTCCCACCCCACACTGCTGCTAAGTAGGAGCCAAAGTGTGGTGCGGACAGAAAGCACTAGATGTTTTTAATTCAGCGTCTGTAGTTCACTCCTTTCGAAGATGTATAAATAGCCCTGGCAATGGCCAAACACCCACTTTAATCACCAGGCACCGTACCTTGGACTGATCACAGGATTGGTGTTTGAAGATGGGCAGGGGCCAACAGACCCCAGCTGGCCGTTTCCATACTATTAAACTCTTAGCCCACAAAACAAAGTGGTTTCATCCCAGCTACTGGTTAGGAGGGTCTATGGTCAATCGACCACTCTTGGGGTCTGGGCCAAACCAAACTAAGGACATGTCAATGTTTTAAAAGTGTACCTAGATGAGTTGCAGTACCTTGCTGCTGTTTAATTTGCTAATACCGTCACTGCCTATGTTTTTTAAAGATATCTCTGAGCAAAGGATATTCCATGAACCTTGGGACAACTATGGCAAAGAGTATCCTGGGTTTTCTGCTTCAAAAAATATTACAATTGTCATTTCTTAATGGCACCATTCGTGTCTCATCCCCCATTGATCTGAAATATGGCATCAGTGAACAAGAGTTGGATAGACCAGGGCCTAAATGAGTGGATAGCAGATTTATGCTTTTATTCGGAGGGGAGCCAAGGATTATTCAAGCTGACAGTTAAGACAGCTATGAACACGTCATGGCAAAATGTGCTAAAGCCATCACGACACATACGGAGCCAGATGCAGGGACTGTTGACTGACTACAGTGGGCTCTGGATCAGAATCCCACTCATCAGTGAAGCTGAGAGCAAGTCTTCCTGCAAACATAGCAAAGTAATAAATGTCTTATTTTTTTCTTTCTGTTTCTGTCAAAGGGCAGACAATTTATCAACATCCCTCATCTAAACCAAGCTTCTGTACAAGGTAAGATTCTTAGCTCAATTGCTGTTTTCTTTGCCTTCCCGTGGGGTTTTGCAAGGTGGTGGTCCCCCAACAGCAGGTCTTGAAAACAAGCCGTCATGTTGCAGGTCTGCGGTTTCTGTATCTTTAGCATTGCCAGGCAGGGAGTTTATCAGTGTGTTTCAGAAGATTCAGTTTACATCACTAACTGTTTGTAGCTGCCAGTTTCCCCTGCTCATCAAAGAAATTAAGAGGGAAAAGCACTCCTTCTCCCTTGGTTGTGCAAAGTGAGATCTGAGACATCAACTGCATGAGATTTCTCTGTCTGCTGCCCTGTCTGCAGCGTGGCAACTTGTGGATTCTATATCCAGCCAGCTGAAAATTTCAGAGGGAATAGCAGGCATGTGAGAGCCCAGAGAGACTACAAAGCAGTGAGAAGAAAGGAAAGAGCAGAAAATAAGGATGCACAGAACCCCTGCTTGGAGACTGTTTGCTGGCTTCATCCACCTCTGCAATTATCTGCAGGTTGCAGATGGCGTTTGGTAGATGATTGCCTTTTAGCAGGGAGCCCGCTGTTACCTCTGCCCAGCCTCCAACAGCAGCTTGTATATATTTGTGTCAAAGAAGTTTTGCAGTTTAAGGGCAGAGAGAAAGATGGAGAGAAGTAGAAGAGGGCAAAAAGTAGAAGAAGCTTGGAAGAAAGCAGTTAGCAACACGTGAGTTCCTCACGTTGGTGAAAGTGTAGGATTAGGGGAGACAGGGCATGAGGAAAGAAAAAAGTGGGGTGACAAATGAATAGGATGGGTGGAACGGCAGACCTAGGTCCTCGCAGTCTTATGGATGATGGTGGAAGGTCTCTGCCATGAGGCAGACAGAGCAACTCCTGCAACGTCAGAATGTTCTTCAAAATTGAACATTTGTTATGGAGATCAAATTTGTGGAAGGTGTAGCTCTTCAACCATATGAATCAGGGTGCGTTTCCATGGAAGTAACATTTTTCCAGAAACCATGCTTTCTTTTGCAAAATTGTTTTCATGGCACATTTCCAAGCAGCCATGCTCTCCTACCTCCACAACTGAGCAGGCAGCACCAGTTTTTCACAGGGTTTTTATCAACCTTCTCACTCTGGTGAGAAGCACAACAGAAGCTGGCTTCAGGGAGGAGGCTTTTATTTCTGCTTCATGCCAGAAGGCAGAAGTGGAAAGATGCTAAAAAAAGCATTTAGGTACCATGTTAGCCATTTTCAGCTCTCAAAAATATTTTGGTTTGTTAGGTTCAGTTCCAGTTTTGGGAAATATTCACACTGACAGTCTGGGGGAACTTCTTATTTTTCACTACCAGTGTCTGAATTTCCAGAAATGATGCTATGTTTGACTCTGTCTTGTGTGGCAAAATGGGCTGATAGGAATCGCATAAGATATTTGAGCCATCCGATATATTCTCGTGCAAGAAGGCAATTCAAGTGAATTGATAGAGAAAGGACAAAATCTAGGCAATTCAATCATATTAAAAAATCAAAGGGCTGAATTATATCCTTAGGAGCATTTCAAATTTAGTCAGGAAAATTTGATGACTATGGAAGTGTGGCATGTAACATAAAACCAAAACCTTTTTTTTTTCTTGGGTTTTGGAGGGTTTTTCTGCATTTTGTTGCATTACTTACATTTTGATATTTTTTTTTTCTGGTCTCGGTGTTGTGCAACTTGTTTCACAGTTTCAAGCTTTCACACTGCTGTCTCAGAGATCATTTATTTGCTTATAGTTAACAAAAGCCTAATTCCACCTGACATTACTTAGATTAATAGAAGTAACACAAAGGCAGGCAGGCAGTGCATAACTGGATTCAACTGCAGTGTTGGCAGCATCACCGATCCACTTTTCACTTGGGATGGGTTCTTCCATGGTGTGAGTCTCTCATTCATTTTAGCATGGTTCCCTAAGCAATCACAATGTCTTTAAGGTCAGTTCTAGACTCTACGGAGTCAAAACTGACCTTTAATTCTGCACTTCTAAAGCTCCTGGTACAACAAAGTCCTGGCCCATGATACTGCTCCCCAAACACACCACCTCCATTGCTACAGCCGCTGCAATTCGCTTGCACTGGAGAGATAAGACGTAGCAGATAGGTAGAATAACCCCTGCCCTTGCCCTGCCGGCTGCTCACAGCTGGATTTAAGTACCACTGATGGAGAGAACTGGTCATTTTGGGTGCTTTTGCTGTGACTGCACAAAGATTCGGTCTCTCTGTAAGGTCATTTCTTCTGATTGAGGAACTGCAACTTCTTCCACCTCTTCAGTTGCTTTTGGTTAACCGTAATATGAATAGGACTGATTTTCAGGGGGTGGGAGCTTAGCGTGCTCTGGAAATTGAGGTCTTTAGAGGCATCTCAAGATTAGCATCAAAGCTTTTAGTCGTTTTTGTTGTTGTTCCCTTAATATGCATTTGAGTTTGAAAGGAATGCTGTCAGAAATGTGCTTTTGAGCTTAATTGGAAATAGGAGGGGTTGTTTCTACTGAAAAAGCTGACTTTTCAATGAGAAATTAAAACTTCTCATTAAAAAATGGCCATTGCCAATCAAAAGTAAGAGAGGGAAGGAATATTTGAGGGTATTGCCCAAAATATTGTTTTCCTAAAAAAAAAAAAATTATGATTTTATGAGGAAAGTAGAAATTATCTGCAAAAACATTCACTGTGCAGAAATCATTTTCCTAGTGCAAGTCTGGATGTGCCCGGAGACATGTCCCACACCATCCCACCAAGGCTTGCTGACAAGCTAGGAGATGTAGCAGTCCCAGCACATAGTCTTCTGCATCTCCATCAATGGGATCTAATCGTGTTCCGCTTGGTGACAGCAGCAATAAGGCTGGCGTGCCACCAGCAGCTGTGTGTTTTGAAGGTGTGCTTTTCCAGCACACGTTTACCTTGGTGAACCAGCCCATGCCATGCTGAAATGGAAAGCCGGACCCATCTTCAGCAGCGGTAACTCATAGCTCAGTGCACCCAGCCAGCCAACACACATGCTGCAAGTTGTCATTTACCCCATGACCATCCTAGCATGGCTCTAAACCAAGTGATGGTCCTCGGGAGGACCCTGGCAGAGTCTCAGCCCAGCTCCATAGCCATGAAACAGTTACAAAGACCTTCCATTCATGGCGAGGCAGTGGTGGGAAGACTGGTTTAATAATTTCTATTAAGCCATCAAACTGGCACTCAGCCTATGCAAACCAAGCTGGTATCTAACTTTCCTGACAGCAGCTCTGAGCCAAGATGTATTTGGCTCACAATCAAAGTCTCTGGGCTGCTAGCATTATCTGCAAAGCAGTCACTCCTAGCAGCCCCGACGGCTTCTCTGCTGTAGAGTCACTCATGACCTCACTTGAACAAATAGGCCAAGAAAGTATTATCACCACTGTTTCTCAGAGGAGTGACAGACTCAGAGACGGGAAGAGTCACTTTCATCATGAGACGGCAAGTCTTTCTGGCTTGAGCAGAGAGCTTTTCTTCTAGCTCACTTAAGTGTGCGGTGTTTCTCAACACCTATATTGAGAAGGGGATAAGAGGTGATCATAATATTTTTTCAGCATATAAAACATTTTTGTTCTTGCTATATTTGCTCTTTTTCTTTCTCTCTCTCTCCTTTTTGTTTTTTGTTTCATTTATTTGTACTTACGTCAGTTGCTTCAAGATCAAAACTACATTTTCCATTTTATTTTTGGGAATACACACCCACTCTGTGCTTGAAGTTGTTTACGTATTTGCTTCTATTTTTCAAAGAAAAAGTGTGACCACTGCACTATTTTACTTTCAAGAGGAGCGGGATGATGCATGTGGATGAGCATATTTTTGGGGGACAACTTGCAGCACACGTCCCAAAACCTTTCATGTCAGAGAAGCTGTATGATAACAACTTTTTTGAGGATGCAACAAGAGTTTGGGTGCATTGCTAATGCCTAACACTTTGAAATCCCTCAAGGGAAGCCCCCAACCGTGCAACCTATTTTAAGACTTCAAAGCATTCTCCCTTGTGACCGATCATCCTTTTTCCCCATACGTAGAAGAGAGAGAAGCTCTGCTGAAACTTCTTATGGATCTCCAAGTTCCTTCTCGCAAGCCTGAAGGGAACTGCTCAGGGCTTCGGTTTACAAAGCTGCATTTCCTCCCACGCTGACCTTTCTCTTCCCTCCTCCCCAGTAAATTGCCAGCAGAGCAGCAACAAGGCCTTGCACAGACACAAAACCCAAGTTGCCCCAGAGACACGTTATCTTGCGATGACAAAGGGCCAGTCTGGCTCTTTTGCTGGTGGCATTATTTGAAAAGGTCACACAGAGACTGTGGCTTGACAGTCTGTTTTGAAAAATGCTAATAATAGACCATCCATTGCTCTCAGTGCATTAATTAGGCTATGTACAGCCTAAAACCTTTCTGCAGCAAATAGTCTCCTTTTTCTTTTTCCTTTTCTTTTTCTTTTTCTTTTTCTTTTTCTTTTTCTTTTTCTTTTTCTTTTTCTTTTTCTTTTTCTTTTTCTTTTTCTTTTTCTTTTTCTTTTTCTTTTTCTTTTTCTTTTTCTTTTTCTTTTTCTTTTTCTTTTTCTTTTTCTTTTTCTTTTTCTTTTTCTTCTCCTCCTCCTCCTTCTCCTCCTCCTCCTCCTCCTCCTTCTTCGTCTTCTTCTTTTTCACCATTGTGCTTTTGTTAGATTTTTGTGTTTGCATGCGTGTGCTGATTGTCTTTGTAAAGTTTGATCTGCCCCAAAATAGCTGCTCATTTCTGCTTCAGTAGCTGTGAGCATACAGAGCACATGTGAGTGGTTGCACAACCTCTCCAAGAGCTGCACCAGCACAACCTGGGCATGCAAACATAGCGATTCAGCTCCAGCCCGCAGAGATCTTCCCCAGGGTGTGTTAGCACCCTCACAGCACATGTACCAGGGAGCAGCTTTGCCACACACAGCATGGCTCCTCTGCACCAGAGAGCAAAAGTTCATTTTGCTGTGCCAAAATTTAGGCTTGTCCAACGTGGCTGGAGTAAAAGCAACATGGTAGGGTAGGGGATGGGGATGCAGACTTGCTGACAGCCTCGGTCCAGGTGGATTGCAAGCAAAATGGGAGACACAGAGCACTGGTTTTGTGGTCTGGAGCATCTAAAGTGCATTGGGGCCAGGGAGCAGAAAGGGCATCCTGGAGCCTCCACTGTTCTCCTGGGAATTTCAGCTGAGCAGAGCAGCCAGATGCTATAGAGGTGGTGGTTCCAAAATGGCAACGTGACTTAGACATGGTGGCACATCAGCAAGGAACAGTGCATAGATGGCAAGAGAGAGGCTGAGTTGAGAGCGTTTGGAGGGAGAGTTAAATCCTAGCAATGCGCTCAAATAACAGAAACTGAGACAACTTTATCCCTTTTTCAATCAAGAAAGCCTCATCTTTTTGAGTCAAATCCCAAAGTCACCCTGGGAAATGTTGCTACAGCAGTTTTCATTTACCACCATGTAAAACTGAGGCCAAACACTGACAGGTTATCTATGACACTTCTTATTCCACACAAACCCTTTTTTCTTTCTGACACATTGGGTTTTGTGGATAAGGAGAGTGCTTTAAAAACACATACACAGGAAACAGCTTGGTGAATCAGCTTCAGTCTCCAAGAAGTTGTGGTTGGCAGGAAAGCTGGGTTGGTGGAAAGCTTGTTTTTTGGGGGATGGAGGGGTTGACAGCCCCTGCTTGTGTGTGTGGGTGAAAAATCTCACCATACACTCAGGTGTACATCACTCCCGCAGCAGGGAACTGGCTGTATTCAATGGTGCTGCTTCTTCTTTCAGATAACTTGATTGTGATTGCACTGTATGATTTTCCTGCCTCAAGTGACCGTGACTTGCAGCTGGTCAAGGGGGAGAAACTCCAAGTCCTCTCCAAGTAAGTGACCTGCTGCCAGAGGGAAGTTCAAAGATGAGCATGGTGAGGCTTGGGAAGAGGGGACCTTGGGGTCAGACCCCAATTTGCAGCCCACCAAATGTGAGCCTGTGCCTTACCTTTGCTCCAGAGTGTGACTCTGGGTACCCTCTTCTCTCTGCAAGGTCGAGAAGATGGCATTTCCATGCTTTTCTTGGGTTATGGATACTTTGGGGTCATGTAGTGTCCCTGCCCGGATACTACTGGGACCTTCTTCACTGCTGGTTTGCGTGGGTGCAGAAGTAGCATAAATAACAACAACCTAGCTCCTGTTTCATATTTTGTGCTGATAGTGTTTTTGCAAAGGATGTGGGTTGGGCGTAGTCAGAGGAAAGGACAGAATCGAGCCAGAGAGGCGCATGGTTTCATTTCACCTTCTTCTCAAACTCACGGGAGAAGAGGCTGAAAGTCCATCTGCCCAGTCCATAACAGGGCAGAGGTGGGCTTGGGTCCTCTGATCATTTGGCCTTGTATGGCTGCTCCATCCTTGACCTCTCTGTGAGGTGGCCTTCAGAGACGACATTTCTCACCCAGATGCCGTAGTCTGGGACCCACGGGGCAGGGGAGACTGCTGGATGCAGATGGTTTTTGGTGGCAAAGCAGTGAGGTGTCTAGCAGCCAAAGGAAGGAGCAGAAAGGGGGAGCCCCAATGTCCCTATGCAAGAGGCAAAATAAACCCACGGTGCCTCAGATTTCCCTCCTCTCACTTGGGGCACGTAGCAGAGGTCTGCGTCTGTGGTGACTCCGCATCTCCTCTGCATTCATGGGAAGAGACTGTCACCTTCATACGTCCCTGAAGGACCAACAGCCTTCAGCCTGGTGATGGTCCTAGGAAATTGAGAAGGACATGTAGAGTGGATTGAGGAGTGCTGGCCTATTTGCAGTGCTCAAAACCCCAGAAACCATGCTGTCCTCTCAGCCTTAGCTTGTCATGAAACTTCTGGGCACTCACACTTTCTCTTCTGCTTCCTTTGCAGTGATGGGGACTGGTGGCTGGCAAAATCCCTCAGCAGTGGGAGGAAAGGCTACATCCCCAGTAACTTCGTCGCACAAGTAGACAGTTTGGAAGAGGAGAAGTAAGTGTGTAAGCTTATGTATGGTGAACACTTGATGGATGCAGTGCCCTGTCTCTCAATAAGCTACGGGAGCAGCTTTACTTGCCAGCAGGAAGATGTGACTGCTGGGCTGTATGACAAGAGGTCTTTCATCATCACCAGCAATGCTGCCCAAAAGTGCAGAAGTTTTAAGCACCATGCGGGTGCGGAGCAGGGAGGATGAGGTGGCTACTGGGAAAGTGGGCAAAGATTCCTGTCCCATGGATTGCACCCACCATGGAAAACAAGGATTTGGGGAAAAGAACATAAAGGTTATGTTTGCACTTGTAAATTAGCAGTGCCAGGGACCACCCTCTGGCCCCAATGGGCCAGTCCACCCATATGCATGATGTTAAACTTCCTCAGCCTCCAAGAAGGTGTCCATATGCAAACTGGGACTGAGGATCACTCAGAAGGGTGCATTGATCCAGGTTTCAGGTGTGCCAGGGACCACACTAACAATTTAACGAGGCAGACAACTGAGTGCCAGTGCCCAGACCCACAGCCCGGTGCTGTTTGTTTCATTAGCCCAGATACAGCCTTCTTGTTTGGCTCCCTGCAAAGAGGATGGCAAGAAAGACTTGAGCCAAAAGGGTTTATTATACCTATAATACAAGCAGCAGCAGAAATTGTTTCCATGACTTATTATCTTCTATGGAATTCAGCTAGAAATTATCATCCCTGCTTGCAATCTCCTCTAGAAGGAACAACCATCATTGAATCCCGTGAATATTTAACAGTGCACAGAAATGTGATTGAGACATAAATGCTCCTTGTATCCAAAGCATACATTTAAATGGCTATGGGCACCCTATGCTCAGCCTCCAGCCCACGTATCTGCTTTATTTGCAGCCTGCCTGGGCACTGCTCAGGGCTTACTCACTTGTCAGGTGAACCATGGGTCCCTGCGGGCCTCAGAAGCCACACTCTGGCTGAGCTTGCACGTCTCT